TCTCTAACATGTGTCTCTTCTAGACAGCATATTGATGGGTTTTGGTTTCTTATCCAATCTACAGCTGTCTGTCTCTTGAGTGGTGCATTTAATCCATTAACATTCATTGTAATTATTGACAAATATGAATTGGTTGCTTTCATTTTGTTATGTGTTTTTTCATGGTGTCCCTGGTTTCTTTGTACCATATTATTTTCTGTACTGAGCTCATTATGTTTATGAATTGTGTTATCATTTCCTTTGTTGCTGTTGTTTTAGTTTTTGCTGAATATTTGTGCTTGTGCTCTTTTTTATTGTGATGTAAAGGTTTACCATTTTTCTTTGAGGTTACCCTGTGATTTATAAATTTCTCCCCGAGTTTGGAATAGTCCTTTCCATCTTGCAACTCTCTTGACTTCCTCACCATTTAGAAGTTCTGTAACTACACAGTATTTTCTGTCTTTTTGGTTTGTAGTTGTCCTCATTTGCCATTTAAAGTCTCTGATTCCCTGTTTACAATCTTGTAAGCTCATTTTACTTTGGATATGTCCATAACTGGTTTCTGGGTTATGTCATCTTGTGTATTAATGGTCGGTTGTTGTTTGATATTTTTGGTTCTCTGTTCATAGGATTCCCTTTAATATCTCTTGTAAGGTTGGTCTGGTTTTAACAAATTCCCTTAGTTTCTCTTATCTGGAAATCTCCTAATTTCACCATCATATTTGAGGGATAGTTTTGCTGGTCATATAATTTTTGGTTGAAAATTTTTCTCTCTTAGGGTTTTATATATACCATCCCATTGCCTTCTCACTTGCATGGTTTCTGCTGAGAAATCAGAGCTTATTCTTACTGGCTGTCCTTTGTAAGTAACTTTTTTGTTTGTTTGTTTTTTGTTTTTTTTGTTTTTCCCATGTTGTTTTCAGGATTCTGTATTTGTCTTTGGTTTTGATGAGTTTGACGATGATATATCTTAGTGAATTTCTTTTGGGGTCTATCCTGTTTGGGGTTTGTTGGAGTTCTTGAATGGATATATTCTCATCTTTCATTATATCAGGAAAGTTCTCTTCCAACAAATCTTGGAGAGTTTTCTCAGTGGTTTTATTTTTCTCTTCCTGTTCTGGAATTCCAGTGACACATATGTTATTCCTTTTGATGGAATCCCACATGATCCTTAGGCTTTCTTCATTTTGTGCTGATCTTTTTACTGATTGATCCCTTTCCAAAGAAGTATTCAGGCATTTGTCTTCAATCTCATTAATTCTGTCTTCATTGCATCAATTCAACTCCTTTGCCCTTTCAATGTGTTATTTATTTCTCACAATTTAGTATTAATCTTCTGGATTTCTGTCTGTAGATTTAGAATCATTTCTAATTTTTCATTTATTTTGTCATTTTGTTCTTGTATTTTCTTCTAGAATTCTTCTAGGGATTTGTTTTTGCTTTCCTTGATTTCTCTCTCAATCCTTTGAAGATACCTAAATATAATTCTTTTGAATTCCTTATCAGGCAGTTCCAATGCTGTTGCTTCCTTAGGGATGTGTTCTGGGTCTGTATCCTACTTCCTTGTTTCTACCACTTTATCTTGCTTCTTTGTGTGGACTGTGATGGTCTGTTGTGTCTGAGACATTGTGAAGTGGTTTTATTTTGATCTCTGTTAACTGTTTGTGAATAGCAGGTATGGGTGAGTCAGGCTATTCCTGGTGGTTGTTTATGATCAGCGTGTTGGCGGAGAAGGAAGTGGTGACTGTGACTCAGGAAGTGAAGTTGCATGCGTGTGGGTGTAGTTGTGTCATATGGGGGCTGTTCCTGTCTCCCACTCAGACAAAAATAACCATTGAATGACCATCAAAAAAGTAAAAGCAAATGGACAGAAAACACACCGTGTCATTACACAGGAAAGTAACCAAAAAAGGGAAAAGGGATGAAAACAAAACAAAAAACACCATCATATCTTGGGAGAGGGTAATAATAGAATAGGGCAATAATGGAGAAAAAAAATGGGAAAAACACAATAAGAAAAACAGGGAACAGGGTTACCCACAAGAGAGAGAGAGAGAGAAAAAAAAAAAAGAAAAAGAATTGGAACCAGGAACTTGGAAAAGAAAAAAGCTGGAAACTAGAACCTGGAAAGGGAATAATAATCAATGATAACAATAAGGACAAAAGTAGTAATAATAATAGTAGTTTTAAAACTGACAAAAACAAACAAAGAAAAAGATAAAAGAAAAAAAAAATCTGGACTGGGTGGAGCTGGGCATCTAGGTTCTGTCAGAGCACACAGACTGGGATGGAATTCCTGCCAGCTTAGAAAGTGGGTGGGAGTGAGGGATGGCCGCACCTTCGTTCACCAAGAGGATTTGTGATATAAGCGTAATGAAGAAAATGTCTCACCTTTTCAGTAATCCACGTGTCTGGGATGTCTTTGCAGTTCCCAGCATGGAGAGCCTGTTCTTATGTCCCTGGAACCTGGAAGAACACTGTTGCTTTAAATATCCAAAATGGTCAAGCTGCTTGTAAACATTCAAAATGTCTGTGCCTCTGGACAGGCAAAAGTCCACAGTTCAGCCCGGCTCCTTCTTTGCTGCCACCAGAGCAGTCCTCCGTGGAGTCCCTGGCTAGCAGGGGTGATTTTTAGGTTAATTCTTAGGTCCTACCACCACTCGACGATATCCAAACTATCTGTGCCATTAGGATCACTGCCAGACTGCAGCTCTGTATGTCTCCTTTTTTGGTGTTTTCATGCAAATTCTTCTGCTAGTTGGAGTTTAGTCCACTTCTCTATCCTTCCCTCAAGGCTCATAGGTCCAGGATTATCTTCTGTATCTGTGTTAATTGGTTCCCCTTTTCTTTGTTGAAAAGGGTCTGTGCATGCTTTCTGCCTATTCCACCATCTTTCTGGAACTCCTATTACTTAAACTTTTAACGTTATATTTACTGAAATAACACTTTTAAATTTATTTAGGCATAGATTTTTATATCACCTTGCTCTTTTTTCTTACATTTCTATGAACACAATAACTTTTTTTATTTAATTGCTAAATCATAGTGTAATCTTTCTGAAGACATTTAATAGCAAAATTAACATTACACATCTAATAAGGAAATGTTTAATATTAGCAATGCACACATGTATTTAAGTGATTATTTTATGAACAGTATGACTGTATTTGCACATGCAAAAACAATGCCTGTCTCTGTTGTTATTTGTTATTGTCAAGTTTCTTCCCACTCATGACAACCCCATGTGTGCAGAGTAGAACTTCTCCATAGGGTTTTCAAGGCTGTGATCTGTTGGAAGCATATTACCAGGCCTGTCTCCCAAGTCACCCCAGAGTAGCTTCATCTCCAACCTTTCTGCTAGTAGTCAAGTGCTTGGACTATAGAAATGTAAAAATGCTGTCACTTTTAAGTCATGTCCCTATTTCAGAGACGTTAAGATGCAAAAAAAAATGTGTCATAAGAATTGATGAAACATCATGTATTCTTTCCCTGAATAGAACTGGCCTCGTAGATATTTCTTTTAGTTTCAAAATTAGAACTATAAACTGTATGTATATGAGTGTAAATAAATATATACTATGTACATATATCTGTGGAGTCCCTTAGTGGTGCTGGACTCTAACCAAAAGATTAGCAGTTTAAAACCACTCAGAGGTGTCTCAGAAGACAGGCCTGGCAATGTGCTTCCAAAAGGTCACAAGTTTGAAAACCCTGTGGATCAGTTCTACTCTGTACTCATGGATGCTCCATAAGTCAGAATCAGCATGACAGCATCTAACAAGGAAGACAACACATATATCTATATGCACATATATCCACTTTTTCTTTTACTAAATAAACTGATAAATTAGTTGCTGTTTTCTAGTTCCCAGATAAAGAAATCTTTCCAAAAGGAGGTACTAGCTTTAATATTGAAGACAATTTTCAAATGATAGCAGAGTCTGATAAGGAATCCATCGAAAATTATTGTAAGTAAACTATAAGTAAAACATAGCATTATAAAGTTATTTTGCATTGGGCAAACTGGCATGTAAAGATAACTACTTTTTCCCCCACCATTATTGTAGGTTTTCCTCCTAGCAACTCAGAACATTCTTATCATTATTTGGATTATAATTTCAAATCAGCAAAGCGGACTCTGTGGGAAGCAAACAAGGTATAATATAAACAGAATTTCAGTAGTTGGGAGTAAAAAATTATTGGTAGTCTTGCAAGAAATGAATCTGTTACAGACTAAAAGGATAAAAATCATATGACTAGTTGATATTTTTAAATATGATCAAGAATGTTTAACAGCAACCACTGACGTCATTTTAGTAGTGAAATGGAACAGAATTTCTTTTAGAGGTAAGAACAAAATATGATGACTGCTTTTCCCTGTGTTATTTGAAGGTGTTTTATAGATAATTGCAATGCGACATGAAATAAGAGACATGCATACTAGAAAGGGAGAGATAAAATTAGAAGAATCAAGTAAAAATTAGTAGAAGACTTCAATGAAGGAACTAAAGATAAGATAAACTTAGAAAAAAAAAATTGCTTACCTAAACCAGTTAGAAAATATAGTAGAAAAAGAATCCCAGGAATAGTAACAAATGATATAAAATGCCAACGCATAATCTTAATTCAAAATGTGCAGGACATGTATGAACTAATTTTACTGTGAGGTATAAATTCCTGAATAAATAATAATTCAACAAGTGTTTATTGAATGCCTTTGTGTGTCAGGAAGTTATATTTTAAGACTGAGATGAATAAAAACATCACTGTCATATAATAGAGTCCAGTAGGAGAAGAGAAATGTTAATCAATAGAACAAATAGAGTTAATGGCTATGTACAGAAAAGCTGCTCTGAATTGCAGGAGGAATCTAGTTTAGAATGGATGATTAGGGAGGATTTCTTTAGCTACAGCAGGAGCAGAGTCAAGAATATACCAAGCAAAAGAAACAATAAGTGTAAATACCAAGGTTAAAAAGAGTCCGGTAGATTTGAGGAAGTAAAAGAAGGCCAAGATGGCAGGGTTGTGAGTGAAAGGGAAAGTGAGTTTATTCTGTCCTTTTTGGAAGATGTATTTATGGTTCTTTGCTCCTATTGTAGTTCTACATAATGTGTTTGAAATCGTAGTTTTGTAATAGGGATGACTAGAATTCATTCATACTGCATGGGGAAAATTTCAGTAATAAGACTTTAGTTTATAACTTTGTTTTTTATGATTCCCCCTTAAAATGTAATTTCTTTTTGGATAGGTAACATCATCAGAACAAAAGATATCTACACTGATTCCTGTTTCTACTTTTTCTTTGCCTTCAAGAGATGAAGACTTCATGCCAGAATTCTCTAACGAGTCCCTGAGAGCAAGAACTTTACATGGTAATCTTCACTTTCTCAACTTAGAGGATAGTTGTTACCATATTGCACTATTTTCAGTCTGTCCTTATAAAATGAGTTTTTATTTGAGAGATTGTTACTGAACTAAAAATATTTTGGAACCAGGTTCAAAATACCCTCTAAAAAGCTTTCTCAAAACCTTTCTGTCTTTGGTCTTTTTTCTGTTGCAGATAGCTATTACTTCCAAATACAGTACTCCCTTCTAGCTCTCTAAACCAATAAACTAATCGCCATTGAATCAGTAGTGACTCAAGCATTCCCTTGTGTATCAGAGTGGAACTGTGCTCCACATTTTTTTCAATTGTGAATTTTTTAGAAGTACATTGCTAGGCCATCTGATGAGCCTTTGGGTAGACTTGAACCTCCAGACTTTCTTTTAGGAGTTGAATGTGTTAACCATTTGTACCACCCAGGGACTCCTAGCCCTCTAGTCAGGCACCATGAGGGAGTGAATCACTGGGCCTGCAGGCTTAGGGCCATGGTCTCAGGACATCAAGCTCAAGTCACACAGCATAGTACACAAAAATGTTATTGTACATCCTGTTTTGGTAAAATATATAGTTATAGTAAAATATATATAACCAATTTGTGCAACCATCTCTACAATGTACTTCCAAAAGTTTTTTATCACCTCAAACAGAAGCTTAATACCATTTTAACAATAACTCTCATCTCACCCTACGGACAGCCCCTGGTAATCCTTAAGAAGCTTTTATCTTTTATTCTTTGTCCTGTTGCATATATTTCATATATGTGGAATCATACACTATTTTTCCTTTTGTGTCTAACTTATTTAGCATTATATTTTCAAGGTTCATCTATATTTTAGCATGTTTCAGAACTTCATTTCTCTTTATGGCCAAATAACATTCCATTGTATGGATACAAACTACATTTTGTATATCATTTCATCTCTTGGTGGACACTTGGATTGATTACATCTTTTGGCTATTATAAGTAATACTACAATGAACATTAGTGTACAGGTATCTGAGCCTCTCCTTTCAGTTCTTCTGGATATATATTTAGAAATAGGATTGCTGGGTCATGTGGTAATTGTTAATCTACCTTTTTGAGAAACTGCCAAACTGCTTTCCACAGCAGCTACACCACAATTTTACATTCTCAACAGAAACAGATGGGGAGGTTTTGATTTCTTTATATATTTTTTGTAACATTTTTCATATTCCAGGGTTTTTTCTTTTTTTAGTAGGCATCCTTGTGGAAGTGAAGTGATATCTCATTGTGGTTTTTATTTGCATTTCCCTGATGACTAAAAATTGGCCCAGGAAAACCTTATGAATAGCGAGAAACACATTCTGATACATTACTGGACAACTTTATGAATAACATAGAAACATTATCCAACACAGTACAAGAAGACAAGCCCGTTGGGTCAGAAGGCACACAAAATAGGACAGGGAAAGAACTGTCTCATCAGAGTAGAACCAACCTTAATGATATGGGTAAAGTAAGTCTTTTAAGACCTCCATATGCTGACCTGGCATGACTCAAATTGAGGAGAAACAGAAGCAAACATCCGTTAATAATCAAAACATGGAATGTACGAAGTATGAATCTAGGAAATTCGAAGTTGTCAAAAATGAAATGGAATGCATAAAAATTGATATCCTCGGCATTAATGAGCTGAAATAGACCGGTTTTTGGCATTTTGAATCAGACAACCATGTGATCTACTATGCCAGGAATGACAGTTTGAAGAGGAATGGCGTGGCATTCATCATCACAAAGGAGGTTTCAAGATCTGTCCTGA